GGGAACGTCCCTGAGCCTGGGCTCCTTTTTTGCCGCTCACTGTCCATGAATTTGCTGCTTCCTGCATCGTCTTGCTGTCTCGGCGCCTAACAAGACAGGGCCCCAGGAGCCAGGGACAGGGCCGTGGTTCCGCAGGCATGAGAGGCAGCTAAGGGAAACAGCACACATGATGGCCCTGCCCTGGGAATAGCATGCATGGGAAATAAAGGCAGCAAAGACAGCCTCTGAACAGGTGTTCCCATCTGCCAGGAGCACCTGTGTGGTTGAATTGGGGCCACAGAGCGCAGACAGGGAGACTGGGCCCCCAGAGCTCGGGACTTGCTGGGAGGGCAATGCTGATACATATGGGGCCTCTAGGGGGCAGGAGAGGATGACGCTGACACATGGTCCTCTGTTGCTCCCTCCCTGCCCCTCAAGTGACCTGCCTCGGGCTGCAGTGTTCCAGTGCTCTGGAAGGTCAGGGCAAAGGATGAGACCTGGGTGGACAGAGAAGGGTTTATGAAAGACTGCACTTGAGTTTGACCACTGAAGAATCAGGGGGATTGGGAGTGGTAGACATTTCAGGCAGGGCAGTTTGCAAGGGTAAACTCAGAGAGGAAGGACGTGGGTGCAGGGAAGAGGAGGGCTCACGGCTGGGAAGGAAAGAGCACACATGCCGGCATCTACGCTTGGACATCTGGTGGAAACCTAAGGGATGGAGCGTGGTGTCCAAACACAGGATACGCACAGAAGGGGAAGGAGCCAGGGCTTACCAGCATCCATCCCATAATATGGCAGGCTCTGAGCCAGGGGGGCTGGTGGTCCAGCTCACGCCAACAGAGATTCAAGGATGCAAAGCTGACCAGAGCATGGCCTTCTAGGGGAACAGTGTGGTGTGTGGGTGCAGTACTGTGGGGAGGGATGGGGGCTGGCAAAGGATATGGGGTGATTATTTTTTCCAGCTTTATTGAGATATATTTGACATATAACACTGTATAACTTGAAGGTGTACAACAGTGATGATTTGATATGCACATATATTGTGGAACGATTACCACAATCACACCCATCATCTCACTTAGTTACCTTTTTTGTGTGTGTGGTGAAAACATCTAAGATCTACTTTCTTAGTAACTTTCAAATATATAATACAGTATTGTTCACTGTAGTCACCAAGGGCCCCCAGATCTTATCCCCTTATAACTAACTGGAAGGCGTGAGCGTGTAAGGAGACTTCAAAGCCATGCTAAGGGGTGAGTTAGCACAGAGGCCTTTGGACAGGGTTAGGGGGCTTGGAAGGTTTTAAGGTGGCACCGGACCCCCAGTCCTGAAGGAAAGTGACCAAGAGCTCAGCTGCTGAGAGTCAGACTGCAACATTCCAACTCACTCATGATGCCTCTGCCAGCAGATCAGATGCGTAAAGGAGCAAGGGTAGAAGGGCGGTAATACATGAAGCCAGCCAGAAAGAGATTCAGTATGAACCCATTACCCAGATGCAAACACTCTCAGAACACCAAAGGTCAAAATGGTGCAGCACAGCCTCCCATTTTAGAGGTCAGGAAACTGAGGCCCAGGGCAGCAAAGGACCTGGTCCAGTTCTTAGAGTGTGCTGAGCCTGGGCCCAGCTCTGCCAATGCACACGCGCGTTACATCTACGTGGAAAGGTCACTACAGAAATAAGGAGGCTGTGCGACCTTAAGAAAGCCATTCCCTCCCTGGGAATGGGCTGGGTTAAATCAGTATTTTCAAGGTCCTGGGAAGCATACCACCAGTGATGCAGGTTACTGGGCCCACTGATTCAGACGTGCTCTCAGTAAACTAAATGCTCTCTAAATTTTTTCCAGGACTAACTTATGAGGTTTGTCCACCCTCCTCCCCCGCTGCTCCCATGAAAAGTCTCCACTGGGGACAGGGGCTCCTGCCCAGGCTGAGCTGCTGCCACAGCTTGGCCCAGTCTTCTGACCCCAGAGACGGAAGGCTGGCTGCAGATGCCCTGGTGTGATTGTTTGGGCTGCACTTCCTGAGGCAGCCCCTACAGGCTTCAGGCTGGGAACACTCAGTATGAAAATCCTCAGAAGAGCTTGCAAACAAACCATGCCCAGATAGCCCTCCATGCCCCTCTGCCCCTCACCGGCTGGTACCTTTGGGAAAGCTGTTTGACTTTGCTGAGCCCCCAGCGATTCCTCAGTCCAAGTGAGGAAATTAATCCAGGTGTGTTGAATCGAGCTCATGCAAACCCAGATTCCTCGTCAATAGGAACTGATGTCTAGCCCTAGGTTCAACTCTGCATGGAGAGGTTAAATAACTTGCCTGAAGGTCACCCAGCAAGTTAGTGGGGGGTCTGAAGCTGGAGCAGGGGCTCCCACACCCCTAATGGGGGTCCCTTTCCTGCACTGTACCTTGCCTGTGAATAATGACTTTCCAGGTCATTGAAATGGTGTACTTGCCTGCTCACAGCAGGTGCTCAATGAGAGGAAATTGTAGTCACCTTCTCAGCACGTCTCCCACACTTGGGCCAGTCGCCTCTGAAGTGTGATCTACTTTAGATGCCCTAACAAAAAGCTCAGGATAAGCAGTGCATATTTAAAGAGGCCCTTGACATTTGAAGATTTACCATTTGCATTGTCCATTATTTGAGGGTGTCAATACTATTAAATATATGTAATAGTAATTTTTTTAAAAAATCTCCCTTATAAGGTTGTAGTGAGCATTGAATGAGATGATGTATTTAAAGCCCCTCTGGTGACTCTCAGCTGACCCTCCACTAGGCCCTGGTGAGGATGAGTCCCTCAGCCAGTGAGTGAGCCTAGCCAACCACCTAGCACAGCCAACCACATAGCGTAGCCAACCACCTAGCGTAGCCAACCACCTAGCGTAGCCAACCACCTAGCGTAGCCAACCACCTAGCATCAGTGTTTCATCAGAGCCTGAGCGAACGTGTGGAGTCCCGAGACGTATTCCCCAGGACTGTACAGCGTCGCTCTAGGGCTACAAATAGCACTTTGCACCCCACCCCTACATTTTTACACAGGTCACAGTGCAGCGCTGAGGAAAGAGGCCTAGGCTGTTCTAGTCCCAGCTCTGCCATTACCCTTGCGGTGAACCTTAGGGACTTCACCTCCCTGGTCCTAACGCTAACCCTCCCTGGGCCTCAGTTTGCCCACCAGCCAACTGAAGGACTAACCCAGGCCAGTGGTTCTCAGACCAGCAGCAGCAGCAACATCCAGCAACATATTCAAAATGCAAACTCTCTGCTCTCTCCCCCGCAGACCTACTGACTCAGGCAGTCTGGGAGGGAGGCCCAGCACTCCGTGTTTCATCAAACCCTGATAATGGCCCACCAAGTTTGAGATCCACTAGCCAGGATGCTCAAAAGCCCAATCACCTGGATGAAATGTGGGTTACAAAGACCATAAGAGCAGCATGCTGGTGGCAGAAGGGCACATGAGATGTCACAGCGGGGTACTTACTGTGCAGCCTGGGGGCAGCTGGTGGGCTGTGGGAAGGGCAGGGACGGGGATGGCGGTGTCTGGTGTATGAAGGATACCAACTCTCCCTTCCTCTGCCCTGCCCACCCGCTCTCCACCCCCACCCCCCACGTGCCCTCCAGCCTTCCAGCGAGCACAGGTGGGAGAAACGATCTGTCCTTCTGGTCCTTCTTCCCTGGTCCCTGCCAGTGTCCTCATGAATGTCCTTTTCTCTCCTGCCCCACCCCTGGGGAACTAGCCGGAAAATGAGAGGCAGTGAGACCTCTAGTGGCCAGGGGACACCAGAAAACCAGGACCCGCTCCTGCTGTCCTGGGGTTATGTTGAGTGTGGTTTAAATCTGGCCATTTTAGGGCGGATGCCTGGGCTCCACATCTGCTCCAACCTCAAAACCGAGCCAAAAATGACAGGCAGACGCTCCACCCAAGCCACACCTGCAGGGAGGAGGTGGGAGGCTGGACACAGCTTCCTGGCCTGCCTGGCCTGGTCAAGGAAGGCTGCAGAAGGATCCTGAAAGTTCTCGAAGCTCACCTGCCTCCACTTCTGCGTGGCTGAAAGGCTCCTTTAGCTGGTTTATGCAGCATTCAGTCTTTATGAAAACAGCCTTGAGATGTCCGTTTTCCTTTCAAGACCGCCAGGAGGTGTGTTGAATCTAGCTCAACACAAACCCGAATTTCTCTCCATCAGTTCTGGACAACAGGAATTGACGTCTCGCGCTAGGTTCGGCTCAGTGCAGAGAGGTTAAGTAACTCACCTAAGGTCACCCATCACGTTAGCAGTGGGTTTGCAGCTGGAGCAGAGGCTCCCACACCCGCTGATGGGAGCCGCAGCCCCACGTCATATCTTACCTCTGAATAATACTGCTTAAACCCTGAAAAGCTCTGCCCTAGCTTAGGCTGCATTCTTGTGGCACCTGGCTGTTTTGTAAACCCTGGAATTTTCTGCAGACAAAGAGGAGAGCCAAGGGCTGGGGCTAAGAAACCACAGTGCAGGAGTGACTTGAACAAGGTGTGCCTGATCCCTGTAGCCTCCCAGATTAGTGCTGAGGACTGACAGGTCTCAACAGCCCAGGGGCCGGGATGGGACCAGGGTGAACCTCGAGGAAAGACCCTGTCGCCTGGAGAGAGTGGAGCTGAAGGTGCAATCCAGTATGAGAAGTGGCTGCCCCACTGGAGGACTAATGAAAGATTGCTGACTTTCGGGGCCTATGTCCCCAGCAAGTCTATTTTCCAGTCTATGAGACAGGCCCTGACAGAGTGGGCGCTTCATTCTTCTGAGCTTATGCGTAACAGGTGTTCTGGAATGACAGCAGCCTCTCTGGGCCCAGCTCCCGATTCACTCTCTAATCCAGGGGAGGAGTCACACCTGTTTGGGGTGGCGCAGTAGTTGAAGGTAAATTCTAGCAGGGGTCCCATTCCTGAGGGTTGACACCACAGCAGTCGGGAGCCTTAGCAGGTTCTGGAGGAAGGGGAGCAGAGAGTGAGGAGTGGCTCCTGGGGTTCTGGGCGGGGACTGACTCTGGCTCTGCCTTGCAGGCAGGACAAGCTGAAGATCCACATGAGGAAGCACACGGGGGAGCGGCCCTACCTGTGCATCCACTGCAACGCCAAGTTCGTGCACAACTACGACCTCAAGAACCACATGCGCATCCACACGGGCGTGCGGCCCTACCAGTGCGAGTTCTGCTATAAGAGCTTCACGCGCTCCGACCACCTGCACCGCCACATCAAGCGCCAGAGCTGCCGCATGGCCCGGCCCCGGCGCGGCCGCAAGCCCGCCGCCTGGAGGGCCGCCAGCCTGCTCTTTGGGCCCGGCGGCCCGGCCCCGGAGAAGGCGGCCTTCGTGATGCCCCCCGCGCTGGGTGACGTGGGCGGCCACCTGGGCGGGGCCGCCGTGTGCCTCCCGGGCCCCAGCCCCGCCAAGCACTTCCTGGCGGCGCCCAAGGGCGCGCTGAGCCTGCAGGAGCTGGAGCGGCAGTTCGAGGAGACGCAGATGAAGCTGTTCGGGCGCGCGCAGTTCGAGGCTGAGCGGAACGCGGGGGGCCTCTTGGCCTTCGCGCTGGCCGAGAACGTGGCCGCCGCGCGTCCCTACTTCCCGCTGCCCGACCCGTGGGCTGCGGGCCTGGCCGGCCTCCCCGGCCTCGCCGGCCTCAACCACGTGGCCTCCATGTCTGAAGCCAACAACTAGGCTCAGCCTCATCAACCCCAGTCCTGCTTCCCTGTCCCCTCCCAGGCCCACCTGCCCCATCCAGTGGGTCTGAGCTTTTTATTTCAAAAGAAAAAAGGAAAAAAAAAAAAAAAAAAAAAAAACAACAACAAAAAACTTTTTTAAAGAGAAAACCCGAGAATGTGATCACAGGCAGAATGGAAAAAGCAAAATAAAGCAGCTGAGTTGTGGGGCCCAGAGCGGGGATCGCATCTGATCTGACGATGGATAGCAGCTGGCCCAGGACTTGGGGAACCTGAAACAGCCCCTGCGGGCTGCAGGAAGCAAAGATGGTGATGCTGATGGCGATGGTGATAATGATGGTGATGGCAATCCTGCCGCAGCGCCTGGCCTCAAGAGAGCCCTGGCCCTCTGGCCCTGGGTACCTTGAGGCTGGAGCTGGGGTCTGGGGGGAGGGGCTAGCTCCAGGATCCCACGCTAGGAGCCAGCAGGGTGTGTCCAGCCCAGATACTCCTCAGCCCCTTCCTGTGCACCTCACTGACTATGACCTCACGCGAGGGGAGAGCTGTGACAGGTATGTCAGTGGCCCTGACCCCCTGCTGCTCCTCGGGCACCCAGGTCCCCTGACCAAGGGCAAAGGCAGGGAGTTTTTTTTTAAAAAAAAAAAAAAAAAAAAAAAAAAAAAAAAAGGCAGCCGCAGTGGTATTTTCTGGGCCTCCTGAGGCAGCTGCCTCCCTTTTGCTGGGGTCTGAGATGGGCATCTCCTCCCAAAAGGCCTGGCCTCTCTCTGGCTGTCTCTCTGCTCTCACACAGAAACTCACAGGGGCCCATGCCAAAGAGGAGGCCCCAGGCCAGGTGTCCAGAAGCACTTTGGAGCTGTGTGGGGCTAGATGGAGGGAGGTGGCTTGGCCAGAGGCAGACCGGATGGAGCAGGGATGAAGGTAGGGTCCTGAGGTACACATCCTGAGCCCCTCCACTCTAAGGCAGAGTCCCTGCTGACACTGTTCCAATGGGTCGTTTTTCCCATCTCCAGTGGCCCTGGGATCCTTAGGGGAAGTGCCCTATAGGCAGGGAGGCCCCCTGGCATCAGGAGTGGGTCTCCTGGGGTCTGGGCCCATTTTTCCCTCCCTGTCCTATGACCGTGGACAGGTCAGCCGTCTGTACCCCAGTTTCACCCTGCTGTGAAAGGGGGCTGGAAATTTTGTTTCCCACTCCCGTGCACCCACCGACACACTCGTACATGCCCATCCCTCCAGAGAGAAGCCTTGAGAGAGCAGGAGCTTTGCAGTCTTAACGTCCCTGGTGACACTGTTTCACTGGACTTAGTTTTATCACGTCCACCTCTACGCTGGCACAGGTGAGAAATGTGGCCAAACTAGACAGGCTGACAGAGGAAGAGGGCTGGGGTGGGCTTGTCCACAGCCCCCAGGCAGCTTTGGGGAACTCTAAATCCTCCCCTCCCCTCTGGGCAGGCCACTGTGCGCATCCGGGGGCTACCATCTCGCATTGTCCCCACCTCTGCGTGGTCCCTCCAATGCCATAAGGAGTCTTTCAGGACTCCGAGGGCCAACACGGAAGGAATGGGGTCCTCCTCTTAACACCTGGCAGCTGCCCCTCTCCACCTGGTTCCCGGAAACAGACACAATGCCCAGTTACCCAGGTGTATGTTTGCTTTTCAGTTGGGAGCTTCTCAGGACTTTGGCATCGCTGTGTATGAACGCCCTCAACCCCTCCGTGGTCCCCCAGGGAGGAAGCCAGCTGTCTGGTGTGGGAAGTCAGAGGCTTGGCTCCAATATGGGCTTGGAGGGCTCTGTGAGTGAGGGCTGTCCACGCATCCTCCCTGGCTCTCTGGTTTGGAGCCGGTCCTGAGAAGGAAGACAGCTCTGCTGGCCCAGTGCCTTCCAGATCTCTCCCCTTTCCTGTCCTTCCCTCCCTTTCCTTGATGAGTTTGCTTTTGTTTCTCAGTAGCCCAGAGGAGTGAGGAGACTTCTCCTGTGCAGATGGCCCAGGGCTGCTGTCCCCAGTCCAGGAGCTGTGGGCACAGACACTTCGGCTCTTCCTATTGTCTTGGCTTCTTCCTGAGCAAACGCAAAAAAACCCAAAAAGGCCAGAGAAGACCACAGACTCTGTCACTCTCCCAGCTCCCCCGTGAAGAGACCCGTGACTCCACACACCATCAGCTGCCCTTTCAGCCAGAGGGAACTGTTGCTGACACCCTCTTGTCCTCAGATGTCATCTGCTGGGCAGCTGCCTCTCACACTCCTGTCTCCATTTCTGACCCTCGCTTCTGGGACCCACCAGCCAACATGCCTGTGTTCCCCCCTCAGCCAAAGGAGCGGGGCTGACCCAAACTTTAAGAGAAAACGAGGAAAAACGAACAAATTAGAAACCAGTGGTGTTGGGGCTTTTGTTTTTATTTTGTAAAAGTAATGACTTCTCATAAACTCAATTTTTCAGACGACTGGTTAGTTCTTTTTGTTTTCTCTTGGCTGCAGTTTGGAGTTGTACATTGTAAAATATCCAAAGATGTCGAGTACTGTATGATCAAGAACTTGAAGCAAATGGGTCGTTGGAGGTAGGGATGGTAGTGTTTTGTTTTGTTTCCTTTTTTTTGGGGGGGGGGGGACATTTCAGTTTCCCTGTCTGTGGGAGAACTTTGGAATTTTTTTCTATTTATAACTTTTTTCTTATGTGATCGCTTTATGTAAAATGACACTCAGCAAGGTTTGCCTTAGTGATACAAGGGACAATCTTCCATAACTTTGGTCGCACGCTGCATCCCGCCGAGAAAAACCCTCAGCTAATTTTCTGGCCTATTTATTAAACAGTATTAATTGACTTGATTAAATGATATTGAGAGTTGCACTTCTGTGAGAGGTGACAGCCACAAGACTATCTGTAGACATCCGTGGCTTAAGAGGTTGACAATTGGGTGTCACAAACTTATAAAAATGTTGAAGATGCCTTTATAAAAAACACAAATCTTTGACCCTTATTTAATAATGTGAGGGACAGCATTTTAAGTAAAAGAAAGCCACACTTACTCAATTCCCTGGTTCAGGTTGATTCCCTTTTGCATTGTCACTGCAGGTGACAGTGGGTGGTTGTGTGGTGGCGAGGTCAGATCGTCAGTGGTCCCCTACATCGTGTGAGGCTCTGCTTGATCATAAACTTTTGGGTATCTATGACTCCAAGTGTGAGGTGTGTGTGTGTGTGTGTGTGTGTTTTTACATGTGCAGGTACAGCCTGTTGTGTGTGAGCAAGTGAGAGTCGAAGGGTTGCTGACCATTTTAACACATCAGTCCTACCAGTTCCCTGGCTTGGATTCCAGAACAGCCTCTGGCTGGCCTTGCTACCGTCTCAGCGTTCTTCCTTTTTATTCCTTGGCACTGGAGTTGGACTTCTCTTCCTCGTTCACCTGATCCTCTTTCCCAAACAGAATGCTAGGCCCTGAGGGAGGTAAGAAAATATATTGCTGTCATTGAATGGTGTCGACTCTACTCAGAACCTGGAGCACAGACTCTCTGAGTAAAATTGGTCTCTGCACTGCGTTTTCTGTATAACCAAGGGTTAAGCCCAAGACACTTTTCTGTGATCAGATCCCCTTTCTTGCCGTGGTAAGCATTCTTATAAACCCAATGCAGCATTTCTCATTCCAGGCAAAAGAACAGATCTGGGTTTCAAGTCTGGACTCCAAGCTGTGTGTCCTCAGACTAATCGCTTCCCTACCTTGGTCCTCCGTTGCCTCATTATAATAGCGAAGGAGACTGAGTTTCTCCAAGAAACTCAGGAACTTGGAGCCTCTCCAAGTTTTCTACCCAACTTAAACACCCCTCAGCCAAGGGAGCCAGCCCTCTGGGGGACTGGGAACTGAATTCTAAAGAAATAGCCTGAAGCCACCTTCCCGGAGTGTGATACTCCTCTGAAATCTCAGGTAGTGGCTTTGAAATTCATGCTTCTGCATTCTATTACATAATATATATGTATTTGTCTTCATATAAAAATATCATCTTGAACATTACTTGCGTTTTCCGCAGGATCTAGTAAAGTCAGTGTCCCTTGGCTACCCTGCAGCTTGGAGAGGCCCGAGCTCACGGTTGACTCAGGGCATGAGGGGATGGCCCGGTGCAAGGAATACGAGGGCAGCTGCCTGTCGGGGTTCCCTTCAGCACATGTATTCTAGCATCATCGGGTCCTCATTCTGGGGCTCGGTGTCCACTGAGGGCCAGAGGTGAACATGGGGAAGAGGTAGGGAAGTGGGCCCGCTGGGCCCTGACCTCTGGGGGCTCCTGAGCTCCTCATGTGAGTCAAGTTGCCTCTAGTCCTGGCCAGGCAGGTGTTTCACAGAGTCACGCAGGACACAGTCTGCCCCTCAGACCCCAGCATTGGGGTGCTGATAGCAAAGGGGACTTCGGTAGAGGGGGAGGGACAGGAAGGGGAATGAAGTTACTGAGGACAGGCCAGAGAAGCAGGTGCATCTTACCCTGGAGAAGGCTTAAGATACATTAGAACAGGCCTTGGAACTTCTAAAGATCTGTCAGAGAGAGGAAGGATCTTACCAAACATTTGGCCAACTCAAACCAACAGGAGAGAGATTCCAGGAGACAGCTGAGTGTCCAAAGGAAGGAAGATGATTTCCTAACAAGTAGAGTTGTCCTAAAGGGGAATGAGGTCCCTCGAGAGGGAGGGAGCTCTCCGTCATTGGAAGGGTTTAATATCGGCTTTCAAGAATGAGGAGAGGGCTTCCCTGGTGGCGCAGTGGTTGAGAGTCCACCTGCCGATGCAGGGGACACGGGTTCGTGCCCCGGTCCGGGAAGATCCCACATGCCGCGGAGCGGCTGAGCCCGTGAGCCATGGCCGCTGGGCCTGCGTGTCCGGAGCCTGTGCTCCGCAACAGGAGAGGCCACAACAGTGAGAGGCCCACGTACAGCAAAAAAAAAAAAGGAATGAGGAGATTCCTGCATGGAAGGAGGGCTTTCTAGATGACCCGTCCCTTGGGTCACTTCCATCTGATTTGTGAAAAGGAGACTATATTATATATCTTCATATGACTGTGGAAGGAGGACTGTACGGGGGGACTGGGGGACAAGTGAAAAAGATGACTTGGGACACCTTCACGAAACC